GTCCTGCAGCAGCCTACAAAAGGCGCGACAGGCAAATGCGGCAAACAGCGCCCCCGGCCTCCTGTTCCGAGGAGCGCTCTGCATCGCGGAGCCGCGACATCAGCCGCTAATGAATTTTATTACATGGCATTTTCACTTGCCTGCGCCAGTTTAAAGGCAACCACTTTTTATCCGAGGAAATTCTCTCTAGTCTATTAGACATAGAAGCTGGCAACACGACTTCTGCAGTCTTCTTTCCCACTAAGATTGGTTCAAAAATACAGAACATCTGCATTTTCAATCGACAATGACTTCGGGCAGATTTATCCCCTGACTGAACTTCGCCATCGTCAGCAGTCCAAGTGGCATCTAAGACTATAAGGACTGTGAGATACGACAATTTTTTAGCAACTTAGATGTAAACAGCTTTTGGAAAATGTTCAAGACATGTAGCTGCCATCATCAAGTTGGTCTCGATGAATTTTCTCCAGCAAAGAACCACAGTTGGAATAGGAGACGAGTTACAATGTGGGAAACTGCAGACGTCTAATCCTGAGATTTGCTGTTTTTGGGTTCAAAGAGGAAAACGAGATATATTTGCCATAAATTTATGCAATTGACCTTCACCATTTGTATAAGATTGTAACCACTCATTAATTCGCAAGGTTTTAACTATCGTAGTGACATTCTTTGGAGGTTTAGTTCTTGCATCCTTTTTTGATATAGCCCCCTTACAAATGTTCTTCTTCAAGAAGATTTCGAAAGGTTGTACCTCTTTCCTTGAAAAAACGTTCTTGGCTGCCATTGCTATACGCTATATGGTTTTTGTTTTTTAGCCTTCCTCTTTGGGATATATAATTATCGTTACTATTAAATTGCTGTGCTTTTTGAATGTTGAACATGCTTTGTATTCTTGTAAATAAATTTTATGTTTTACATGCAAATTCTTCAGGATAATTATTCGAATTCTAACATGGGATGCTAGCATGCTAATGGAAACCCATCACACCCACACCCTATTACAATTAACCAGTTTGCTGGCAAACAGCAGAATGTGGTAAAAAAAATTAGATTCGAAGAAATAGAAATTACAATACGTGGAAATATATGAATCAAGTCAGGTGAAATTTGTTGACTGCTTTATGTGTCGCTGTTGTATGAGAGTTTTGTACTACGCCAAATATGCTTTTGAATGCTCAAACTTCTTTGAAAAATTTTGCAATCCATACAGCTGAAGAAAAGAAACGCTCACAACTCTTGCATCAAGCAAAAACTCTAGATGACAGTGATATCCATAAATCATCCTTACTCTCTTTTTGTGAAATCAAGAAGAGCTGATTGTTATTTAAACACAGTTTCATAGGGTATCCTCCAGTATATACCACACTATTTACAACAATTTGAAGGATAACGAGAATAAAAGATAAATGGTCTCATGTGCATGCTTCGCATTTCAACGTTTGGAAAAGAGCTTCTGCTTGCAAATGAGTCTGATAGACGGCATCGAATTCGATTGTCTAATTGCTAAGATCATAAGAAAGAACATCAAGAAAAGTCACGTGAATTCATTAATCATTCATGCTCAAACTTAACCCACTCCTTCCATGAGTTCTTTGAAATTAAAATGGTAGATCAATCATCTTTGGTTGAGATGTTCTGTTTTTAGATCAAAAAATTTTGCCCGTTTTCTGAGTTCAGTACCACAATTTTTTTCAGGCATGAGTCCTATAGCAGATTGTAAGGCACCGAATCCTTGGAAGTTTATATTATATACGTTTGAAAATCATTTGAGCACCAACGAGATACATTTTAGCCCGAACATCGTCAGACATTCCTTTTTTGGAAGCCCTACTTTGAGAAACCATAACTTGATCCGGAATATGTTGGAATAGCGGAATCCGCTCATTGTATAGTCAATGGTAGTGGTCTGCTTAGCACAAATATTAACCTTAAAATTAAAAAATTCAATATTTGGTAAATTTATAGTTTGTAAAAAACATACATGTAGAACTTCCACTCATTTTCGTATTTCCCATGTTTACAAAAATAATACTTATTGAAAGTCCCTATCTTTTGCCATAATAACCCCTTTATACTGTCATTATAGAATACTGGTCTGGCAGCTGTAACATTCCGCGGATTTTTTTTTTGTAACAAAAGTTTATATACCAACGCTTTTTAGTAAAAAGATGCCTTGCCCTTAGACAAAAAAAACCGACACACTGTAACAAAAATTTGAAGACGAAAAAATAAAGTTGCTTTATTCTTCAAGTTTGTTTATCCCTATTTTATAAAAATGACGCTCGAGTAGACTGTTTATGAGAGGCATACTATCGAGCAGGTGTAATATTCGAAGCAATACATGTTCAAAAATTTCTTTTCAGCATGCATTGATATGAGTCAAAAGTTATTTCGATTGTAAGCAGAGGGAAGGGGGGGGGGAGAGAGAGAGCCTAAGTGGGCTGCTTTTATAATATTAATATATTCAGTATCAAAGTAGGCTTGAAATTACAAAACGCAAAAGTGAATTTTTGGTTCCCTCAATTTGCTTGAAAGAAAATCAAACGAGCTGTTTTTTTTCGCAGTTTGCTCTTGTTCAGCTTCTTGTTTTCATAATTTTTACGCTATCATTTCCGAAAAAATGATATCTGCAGCCGTCAACAGGTAGTCGACTGTTACTAGCAGGAAATTGAGGAAACGAAAAGCCTTTATAACAAAATGGTGAATTTCAACATAGTCCATCAATCATCAACACGGCTTGGCACACGTGGCTTGTAAGCAAGCTAGATATCGTTTTTGGGACAAAAAACTAGGGGGTGTTGTTTTTGAGGCCGAAAAGACACAAAGATTGCGAAGTTTTTTTAGTCGACGTTTGGGTTTTTTGAGGGTTTTTACGTTTAAGGTTTGGGGTCAAAGGGGACTTCGTAAAAATTTGCGAAAGTCAAGGAGGACTTTGTTTTTTGCGTTTTCCAAGAGCTACCTCGTGCTGAGCCCTGATTACCACGCCTCAACGACATTGTTTTTATTGCTTTTATTAGCTAATTTGTTAATCAATTATTGACGCAGTGCACTAATTATGTTGATATATTAGTAAAGGCTAACAGTGTCTGCCATCATTGATCCCAAGTAATCTCTGTAGGAAGAAATTTTCGAAAAACAAACGTTTGTAGTAATTTACATGATTTTTTATCGCTTTGAATGACGCCATAAGATAGTATAAAAAAAAGTTGAAGCTACACATTTGAGAGTTTGTTTTGCATTTTGATTGGAACGTTGTGGATCGTTTAATTACATCCCTCTTATAATAGAGACTTCGTTAACTCAGCAATGGGTCCATATCGTTTTTTTTCAGAACCCATTCTGCTCGAATGAATACGACTATGAATTCTTTTGTGTATATTTGCAGACCTCAGAATGCATCAGGATTGGGAACAAGCTCTTAAATGTTCCAAAAGCATAAGAAATCATGCACGGCAATTGTACTGGTAGTTGATATCTTCATACATTATTTTTTTCATTCACAGGTCTTATAATTTGAATCGTATTGAAACGTAAACTTTGCTCTGAAGTTGTGGGAATTTCCCATGGGTGCGAAAAAATTGTACAATTCACGTGTTCATATGGGATTGGAACTGCAAAGTAAAAAAGAGCATTGATCAAAAAGTTAAAAGTATAAAGCTAACGTGGTAAGTAGCCTAACGAAGCCTTGTGACAGGAGAAAAAATCAAAAATTATACTGTGATACAAAAATCTATTCGAAAAACACCATAGACAGGAAGCTACAACAAACTGGCAATAAAGGCGAAATTGCAACTAAGCAAGAAGGACCACACTATACGGGTTTTTCTTTGCGAAACTACAATTTTTTTCTTGGTCTCCTTATCGTCACTTTGTCGAGAAAATTGTGCAAATCTCGCAAACTTACTTATGTAGACGATAGTACAGGATTGTATTTCCCAGAAGGCACAAGAAATGCTCTTTTATGAGTTGTTGTACTCTGTTTTCTCAAGCGGAAAGTAAATTTCCTATTTGAGTAAAAGTGAGCTATAGGAATGATGTTCTCAACAAATTTGATTAGGAAACTTGCAAATGTAATTGATCGAGGAGGTCCTGACAATGTTTTGATTGTAAATGAAAGTGGGGAAAAGAAAAAAGTATGAAGAGGGAACAGATGATTTAAGAGAAAGATAAAGATTTAGAAGAATGCGAAAATCAATTTTTCTGATTGCTAAAAAATCGTTGGCAGAGATAAAAAAGAAATAGGAATTTTGTGGAAAAAAATGAATTGAAGAAATAGCTACAGTCCATGTCAACCTTATGTTTCCTCTTTCACCAACCAAATCGCAACCGCAGGGCCTCGCGTTGCGTTCGCGCGCGTATAGCTGTGTAGAACTCACTTCATCGATCATGGTAGCCGCGTTAGGCCCTTGCAGTGCGGACGCGAAGCAGCTACGAAAAAGGGAGGACTTGGTTGACATCGACGTACTTAGGAAAACTTTGCGCGTAAATGGTTTATATTTTTTCGTTGAAATAATAATTTCAACTACGTAATTTGATACTAGGAAAAAGGAAGGGAAAGGGTTTATTTTCTTTTCCCATTAACTAGTGAGCCAGTAATCTCAAAGGTGCTAATTGTAGGGGCGCTCGCTTCGGGACCCACTCGGTTTCCCGCTATCTGATGATTTTTGAATGCACATTACGATTCCCTATGTATAAGATCTGTAATTCTTCTCACTAAAATTGAGAGGAATCGAAAAGATTTATTTTTATAAACACGTAAACTAATTGCTTAGAAGGTTAGAATATTGGAAATAACGGAATTAAAAGTCTAAAAATAGAAAAATCGAAGAAGCGGCTACTTAAGAAAATCTGATGTGTATGTTTATATTCTTCTCATTAATTTGTAATTTGCTTACACATGCATAACTACCTTCCACGTCCCACACATTTACGTAAAAGACGAGAAAAGCTTCCAGTTTAGAATGTTTCCGCATTAGAACCAAATATAATTTATTTTACGGCAAACACATTTAACAGCGCTCGATCAAAGTAATTTGACCAGATACAACCAGATGACGGACACACACGTTCACATTTTGAGATCGGCGTCGGATGGTCATCAGAATCCGTAACAACAGAAGGAGAGAGGGAGACGTCAGATAGAGAGTTATCTACACAAGGTACGGGAAGTATGGGTACGGCTGTTGTGGTGCGTACGCTGATGAATCCGGTAATGATCGTTTGCCGAAACGTAGCGGACCAGATGGACCATTTCGTTTACCGAATCGCAACGGACCTGATGGTCCGGCTTTCTTCAAGTCTGAAAACAAGCTTTTAAGAACTTGATGATCCTGAGAGCTTATTCGTCTAGGAAATAAATTGTGAAGTTTATTCAAAATTCAGACTACTTGTAAAACGAACTTCTAGCATGGCTATCACTACTCAGAGTTTCGGTATCCTTATGTAATTATTTGATTAATTATGCATTCCATGATGCCCCCAGAAGACGTATCAGTTCAACAACGTCTTCTTGATTAGGAACTTTCGATTGGGCGAGCAAAAAGCGCGGGTTCTTTTTTTTTTTGAAAAATCAAACAATTACAAAAACTCGCAAAAAATTTATAGTCTATAGCTTGTAAGTCCACAAAAATTTTCTAAATCAATCCCTCCTCTCCCCAAACACTGCTCGGGACCATCATGGTACCTCAGGTTCTCATGATTTGTCAAAACTGCCATAGGAATTCATTTTTCATTCATCTTAGGTTGGAGTTTGTAAATTTTACTTATTTAATCAATTACAAACGGAAGTTGGTCTAACAATTAATAGGTTACGGTACGGAAATAATAAACGCAATAACTGGAAGCAATTTTTTCAACGTTAAACCCTTAAATATTACTCGATAGAATTATTTGAAACCTAAAACTCGCCGTCCACTCTACTTCCTTCTCGCAGTTTACATTATTTCCCTACTACGAGAAACTTCCTACCATTTTCCGGTCTCAAAACTACCCAAAGATTTAAGTGGGACATGTTCCAAGACCATTATAGTAAAAGCAAGTCAATTTAACCCAAACATCCTGTCTCTTTATTTGGAGTGAGAAATTCCAAGGCGTGACAGAAGAAAAAATATTATTATGGCTCGTCCCTAGTATTGTTGGACGTATAAGAGAGACGCAAAAGTGCAGACAAAATAATTCATTCGTATGGCATAAGATTAGTTCTTAGAATGTTCAAATAATGTAACGAGTGGTGCTTCGTTTACAAATCGTTAGGGAAAAATGAAACCATGGTACTTGTACTTTTTGAGCATAAATTATGAGAAACTCGAACTTCTTATATTTATTGGCCTATCGCATATCAAAATGGATGCTTATGGAAAAATCCCCCAAACCATTTAATCTCCTAGCTATAAAGAGCTTTTAGACCAAAAGCATAGTAAAAAACTCACAAGGAATGAAGTATTCGGGTTCGCTGCCGGCTTCTTCCAGTTCTAAAAATGAATTTATAGTCAATAGAGCATATAAAAAATTGTTTTGAATAATTGTATATAATAGTCATGAACCCGGAACTACTAGAGTTTTATTTACAAACCAAATTATTACTCCCTTCGTTAGAGCTACTTGAGAAGCGAAATGATTTTTCTAAAAATCCAAAAGAAAATGTTTACTTGAATGACTCTAACACCTCCTTCTTTTGAAATTCTTTGTGTGGTCGAGTGAGTTGCCCACGAAAACATGCTCTTCTCTAATTAAAATCGTGCTATTTCTTAAATCCACATAACATCATTCAGCAAAAATCCCTTTCGAAGATATTTCAAAATTCTTCATAAATTAAAAAAAATTTCTGCGATTGCGTATGTGCCTAATATCGTCATTTTCTCAAGGTAGCTCAAATATCGCATATCTCTTTATTTTTACTTCTTTGTGACAATATTGTCTTTCTATCCCACGAGGATGATACTAGTCCTGACATTAAGTAAAATACCATGAAGGATGAACGCTTAAATCAATTTTGAGAGAGGAAAAAAGTCAGATAATTTCGAGAAAATAATTGGCACAATAGCTTCTAAATCGGCTCCATTATGACGCTTCGATCTTTTTTCAAATGGTGGGTTGTGTCTATAGCTTAGGTCTAGGCATTTTTCTTCAAGTTTGCAAAAGCTCGAAAACTCACACTTGTTAGTGGAAAAAGTATAGGAGAAGTTCTTAATGTGGGAAAATGAGTGTAAGAATTGATTTAAGAAGAAGTTCTCGTTAATACAAACGACTAGAAACGCAAGCACATTTGAAGTTCTTACATTTCCTAAGCATTCCCTAAGCTTTCAATTCATAGAAAAAGGGAACAAATTAGCCCGTTATGGGAGAAAAATAAATTTATTATTGGCAAAATTTATGGAGATCATAAGTAAAAGTCATTCATGGTGGTGCTGATTGGAAATTCACAGCAGGTTAGTTTTCTTATGAAAACTGAATGTCTCAAGGATTCGTGAGGGAAGATAAGTAACGCTAGTAACAAGTTATCCTTTTTGATTCTTGGCGATGTCGAGATTTTGCACAACTTTTTTAGCTACGTAGTCTGACGAATCGCGTCGTTTCAGATGACTAGAGTAACCTCAGCTTTTCGCATGGAATTCAACGTGTTCAAAATTGTTTACTGAAACTGCATCATGTCGGAAACCGCAGAAGAAATGCACTAAATCAATATTATCAAATCTGAAAACTATTTCAAAGTGCCGCTGACCATCGCTGGACCCATTCAGTCCTCTATGGTTCACAAATGGCCTGTTAAGCGCTCTAGGACCCATGTTACCTGCTGATAGGATCAAAAATATATCTACTTAATCTCAGTGTTTCTATGCAGATGAGTATCAAGAAAAATATGATCTCGAAATATAATCGGCCTCAAAATGCCTATGGCCACCAGTGGGTCAAAACAGGCCGCTTGAGGGTCTTATGGCTCAGTATTTTAGCACCATAAAAATTACAATTGTTTTAGTCTTACAATGAAGATAATAAACGCAGAAAAGATCGTCTCAAAGTGCCCGGGCCATTAGTGGTTCATAACGTCGCTAATGGGTCATGTGTTTTATTCATTCATTACCGATAGCTTTATGGACAGAAAAAATCGTACTGGAGAGCCAGAACAAGATAGAAATTTTTGGCTTCGTGCCAGGACCACAACGACCTACCTGCGAACACGCAAACGGCAGCCAACAGTACAAATAAGAGCCTGATAATACTGTAGCTGTGCATGAGTGATAGTGGGTTGGGTTGGGCGGGTGTCGCTAGCCGTGGGTATAGCCGGAGGCGAAATGCCAACTCGGCAATCGCGGAGATTTGCCACGCCCCCGGGTGTGTGTGTGCCAAGCTTCTCTCCCGTACTACCCGGGGGAGTGAGCTGTTTGACGGGGGAAAAAGTGGGTGTTCTTGGGTTCCTTGCAGGATGGTTGAGCTCTCTGATTTTCGGCATAATTTTTCTCCTTTTTTTTACCCAAAAAATGGCATTCCTGGCAGTTTTTATTTTCTAAAAGTAAAACAATATGGTTTAGTTTTGTAGAAAGCAATAAAGCCGTTTTCCCATACCTAGACTCGCCTTTTCATTATATAACGCTTGGAAAACCTTTGAAATGATGTCACAGACTAATCTAAAAGTAATTTCGTTTTGTTATCGCCGAACTGATCTGAATTCTGCAGCAATTCGCAAAATTTTCACATTTCCAGACTCCTACTGACCTAGACTAATATATGTACACTCAGGGCTGCTCTCATATCGAACGTTCAAAAAAACTTTTAATGTCGTAGAGCTCATTAATTCGCCAGTAATTTCATCGAACTATGACGTAAATAAATCTATATAAGGTGAAACAAACGGCTTGAGTTTTGCGCAACAGTTTCGTGGAATCCGAGAAATCATAGGTAATAAACCGAAAGAATTCTCCAATGATTCAAAATAATTGGAGAATTGAAGGTTGAGTAGTTTTTCCCGTTTATATATAGAAGCTACCTACGAGCATTTTGAGAGAGAAAATTGTGACAAAATATTATTCAGGACTGCTACATAAATATTTGACAAAATTTGCAAACGGAATATTGTTTTGAAATTCTACTTCCACACCTCTTTTCCTATTTCTTTTCGAGATTTTCGTAATCAGTGTATAACCTGAATTCAATGATTGTTTACACTCTTCATAAATGTTCAATTCAAATACTATTTCCATGCTCTTTCCACATGTACCTAGGAATTTTAAACTTCTACATAACATCCTCCCCCTCCCCAACCGTCCAATGAACGAACCAGACACCGGCAAGGTCATCCGATACCGTAACCTTTTCTCCCTCTCTCTCACCATGCTACGGACAGACTAGAATATCGAGCGAATTCTGAGCCCATAAAGGGGTTGTAACCAAGAAAGCAATGGCTTCTCATCAAAATTCCGAAAGGATTTGATTTTTTGCGTCAGGCATTGTTCAAAGGAGAATATTGATGCTGTAAGATGAAGCAGATAGAAATAAATCGGGAAATTTCTGGTCTTATGTAGTAAAATGTGGGAAAATTGAAGAATCAATATTTTTAAGTATAAAGTTTATGAAATGTATTGTGTAAGTGAAGAAATGAGTCACTCTGAGAAGACTTTCATTCCCAAATGCCATGTATAATCTTTCTCCTGTTTTTTTTTTTCAACAGAACAAAACAAATTCAGAAAACAACAACTTTCAAATGATTGGAGGTGACTAAAATGAACTTTACATCTTCTACAGGACCGCTGTATTATCAGCTCTATTTAGCTAAAGTAAAGATTACATTTGCAGTAAATTCACGATATTCTTTTGAAAAAAATTTCCGATACATCGGGGAATCTAGACAGAATCTAGACTTCCTAAGAAGCCATGTGCTTTGTTTTGACTCTGTAATTCGTCGAAATGAGCACATGCTTGACGTCGTAGAGAAGCTCTTAATAGAAGAAACCATCAGCAAATGCTAATGACACACAATCGGATTAGAAATTCATTGTCTGAGGATAGCATTGCAGCGAAGATGCCGTGGAAACAAAGCAAAACGAATCAAACAGCGTGAAATCTGCAAAATCTTGCAGATTACTTGCAGATGAAGCACGACTTTGCAGTGATTACAGTAATTTCCACATTAGAACTCACTTAGAGGAAGAGAAAGGGAGTAAAAAGTTTTTCCAAATCATTTTGAACACTTTTTGGTGCTTGCTGAGCTTGACAAAGATAACAAAGACAAAGATGACAAAGATGATATAATAACTTTATTGGCTGACGTCTACGGTTCGACGATCTATTTTCGATAGCGCTTTCTCTGCCCGATGATCTATGTAAATGAAGTCTCTCAAATACAAACCTTTTTGGCTTTCTCCTTCTTCGAGGTTATTTGAATCATCTCAGGAGTATTTATTAACTGGTTTTCATCATTTGTTGTGATACTATATAGTCCACTAGTTCGATTGTTGCTCTTTCCACATGTCATTTCAAGGATTAATGCACTGGCAATTTGAAAGGAATGGCAAATCTTATTATCGCCAGAAATGGTGGTCTCCCAAGAAATTCTAAAGAAAGATCTCGGTGGTCAAGCATCGTTTATTGTTTATTTGCAGAATTTGCATGACGTTAAGGAGCATAGATGAATTTCAAGATTGACTGATTGTTTACGACTTTTGGCTTCTTCTTTAAAAATTTTGTAATTAGTGGAGAATCATTACAGAGCTTGCAGAAGGCTTCAATTCATGGGGCAACATTTCTAAAACTCTGTAATAGCTAGATGGGCAAAATTCTGCTTTTAACTAAGTCACCAAAGGAATCACTTTTGAAAAGCTTGATCCCTTTTTATCTTTGAAAATTATTAGAGGGCTGGACTTGAGCTGACTCAATGGGTGTTTCTTTGTTTTGTTTTTATGGTAACTGAATATTTTTAAGTGCTTATGTTGATTGTCTAAATATGCATGACTTGTGCATATTAAATAAGTAAATAAATAAGTAAATAAATAAATAAATAAAAAGGACAAAAGATCCGTCAGCCTCCTATAAGAGCTTTGGATGTTAGTCATAATGTTCGAAATGGCATAAAGATGCCTGCTTTATCCTTTACCCAAAATTCTACATAAAAATCTAAATATTTGACATAGTATCTAAGGTCTGCAAAAGTTTCACTCTAGACCCCAAAGTTGAGAAGTACAATCTGAGTGAAGTTACAAGAAGAGTGAAAATCAAGATTATTCCAAGAAACACAGCCCAGTTCTGGGAACAGAATGATACCTATCTGTTCAAACGTTACGTCATGCAGTTCCTTCTGATCACATTAGTTCCCACACCCCATTCTACGCATTAAGCTTGATGCAAAGCTATGTCATGATGCTTGATGGACTCTGATCTTCCTGGAAGTAATTTTAAGGCGCTAAATGGAATTAGTGAACGGATCAACTATCTCACAAACTAGTAATTCACGCTATACTTCCCATATGTTGAGCTGGAATATACGTACAACATTCTGAGCTGTTCTGCAAAATTACGTATTCAAGCTAGAGGTGTGGGAGTTCGATAGAAAACTTTTGTCATTAAAGGATACGGTAGGATTGTTGAACAAGCAAAAGTACAATCAAACACAGCGCAATAGGAGAAACACGATTTATTATTTCAGCAAACATTGTTATACTGTGAAATTGGATAGTTTACTCATTAAAGAGGAACACACTGTTGTTTTGCGAACTGTAAAGAAATAAGAATGTTTGCAGATCTATAACCTCTGGTCTTGGTTGTTCACACAATACATTAATAATAGCTCTAAAAAATTTTCTGAAAGGATTATTCCCACTCTATAAGTTCAAAAGTTGCTCTCACGTCAAAATTTGATAAATGCAAACTTCACTGATTGTGCGAAAAAATCAAAGTAAATTGAAATTAAGGCCAGAATAAAGCATATTTCAGGCACTAGTTTTTTCCCCCGCCAAATTTCTAAGTTTGGTCTCTGATTGGCAAAATTGCAGAAACCGGTAGGTATCATACTGCATAAGTTTCGCAGCAAAATTTTTATTCTTGACGATTTTTCAATTCCAACAAATTTTGGGTTCTGTAATATCAAAAAAGCAAAAGATATTTCTTAGCTTTGTCTGATGCTAGAAGGCACAAGCAGACTAAGAAATGCAGAATCAGTTTCGAACCCGTTTGCAAAAAATTCTAGTTTACAAAATCTATCTCGGGCATTGAATTCAGTCCTGTAAATTACTTTTTCTAAATAAGAAAAATGGTCAACATAATACATTTATTGATTGAAGACGTCGTTTTTTGCTACTTCGTCAAATCACAGAGCAACTTTAATTACAAAAAAATAGAGTAGGATTAATAAAAAATTCCATAGTTAGGTATAAAAAAAGTAGTAACTCCAACAAGTGCACATGCCCAATGCACTTCAACAATAACCCATGCCTAACCCATCCTGCCATCGGTACATCAAAGATACCTTCAAAGCTCTTCACAAAAGATCTATTCTCACCTCGGCGGTTACGGTATCCGATTTCAGAACGTCAACCGTTCGCGTATTGCCGGATAATTGCGCAAACTCGGTCAAATGTCGAATATGGTGTGAAAATTGAGATGCGCGATGTGCACGACACTATACACGAATCGGGTTCACGACCGTCAACGCTACCGTATCCGCAATTTGTTCGGCTTCCAGTTCGTTTGCAATGCGACATCGCGTTTTTGAAGGACGCGCATGGCAATTATCGCGTTTCGTTCGCACTAATAACTCGCCCCGGCTACCGTAATCCTCATCTTTGCATTTCACACTAGTTGAAGTTGTTTTTGATCGGTCATTATGTGCGAACACGACATGCATGACCCCGTTGGAATTGAGTTCTAGAACGACGAGGGGGTTGTCTGAAAATTAATATAAATAACTCTCATCATCAAAATGTGGGCAAAAATCAATTTTTCATATCTGTCTGATGGAGGAACAACTTGGTTTATGGAAACTACAGTCATGATACCCTAAATGAAAATTCCTTCCTATCAGTTCCTATACAAGACATTGTTTTGGATTCTAAAGAAACTTTTCGATCACTCTGAACAAAAATGAACGTCTACTGCTTCCCCCAACTGACACGACTTCAGCTAAGACTGATTTTTCCCAAAGAGTTCCACCAATCCCTTCAAAATCATTGTCTTGTCGATATTTTCCCTGACACAGATTACTTCAAAAATTAGCTGAACTTTTCCTAATTTTGTGATAACACCTCTAGAAAACAGAGCAAAGAATCTATTGCAAAAAATGTAAAGATGCATGGATCACCA